GACGTGTGGGTATACTATTGGTTTCAAATAAATTGATAAAGGGCAAACTATGTTATAATAACTTTGTTAGCTTTATTAATTTCCAATAATTGACCTGACATAAAAAAGCATATTTTGCTTTTAATAATATAAAAAAAAAATTAATGGTAGAAGAAAGAGTTTCATCTTTGGGTGAAATTTTACTGTCCCATCGCGTTTTATTTAATCCCTGACGAATAGGGTGGAATAATGCAAAATTATAATTAACTAATGAAAGTCACTTTCAAGATGATGGATTATCAATAATCCAATAAAAAGTTAGGCCAAGTGTCTTCTCTTTCATTTAATGTTCTGCAAAATATTATGTGCGTGTATTATATTGGTCCATAAATTAATTTTAATTAACTTCTGGTAAGTTGTCCTATCTCTAGAAAACAGAATTGATACAAACTTACCAATGTCAAGTTTCGATTTTCTTAAACCACTGTAATACGCACTTAGATTATGCCTTTTCTCTTTTCTATTAGTAAAGGCAAAGTAGCCAAAAAAGTGCTTAATCCCGGAGAAATATGTATGAACTTCAATGATTTTTTGTTCATTTTAAGCCCGGTTTATTCATCTTCAGATAAATTTGCTAGTAACAATCTACCTGAGAATAGGATTGAATTCATAATAACATGGAAAGGTTGAGGAGGTAGTCAGAAACAGGAAAATACCAGTGGAATTTACTAGATTGACCTACGAATGGAGAACCATACGAAAATATACAAAACTGTATGATTATTCAAAAACTGTACATTGGAAACTGTGTAATAATTCAAAAACTGTACATAGGATTTAATTCATACTAACATGGAAAGATTGAGGGGGTAGTCAGAAACAGGAAAATACCAGTGGCGTACACAAATTAATAAATTAAACTTTGATTATTAGCCTATACTTTGCTAATTTGTTGGATGACTGGATGTGTTTATAATAGTTCTTATATGTAAGATAAACAGATGAGGAATCGTTTACTTAAGAAAGGGTTTGTAATTCTTTGTCTTGATGTTGAGTCAGTTCCTATAGTTAGTTCTATGAGTTCACACGCTCTGCTTTCCACGCTGTGTTCGATATAATAACTATATTGAATATCGATAATTAATCAACAAGTTCTTTTATTTCTTAGTCCATTTCCCAATAGGTTATGGGACCAGTGTACGTGTATTCATCGCGGTTGTGACAACCGAGATAGTTTAGTGTGATAGTGACAATGGAAAATTTGAAGCTAGAAAGAAACAAAAGGCTTCATGCTAACAGAAGTTGAACGTTGAACGTTGAACGTTGAACTTCATAATTATTATGGGTAAGTCTTTGAACACTTTATTATTAATTGCTTTTGAACTCACTGTTATTGGAAATTTAAAAAACACTATCATTCAAACACATAGTGACAATTAAATATAAATAAAAATTATCAATTGTGGCATGAACGTTTGGGCCACATCGGTGAGGTTTAAATTTTTGGAAAAAAAAAGAGATCCAAGACTTAGGGCAAATCGATCAGGTTATACAATGACAATGAGTATTTATGTGAAGCGTACATCAGTGGTAAACAAGCACGACTTCCATTCCAAAAACATTGTACTGTTTGTGGATGAATTTACTCACTATTGTGTTATATATTTGATGAGTCATAAGTCATATGTATTTTGTATGTTTCAAGATTTAGTTGCTGAAAGTGGGGCACATTTTAATTTACAGATTTTAAATTTATTCTGTGACAATGGAGGTCAATATCTAGCTACTGAAATGATAGATTTTTGGTATACAAAAAGGTAAGTCATCATTTGACAATTCCACGAACCCCACAAATTAGATCGTGCAGCAATAAACAAAAAAAATAAAAATGTTTGGGGTGAGGGAGGCAGTTTTTACTGCAACATTCTCACTTAGTTTGACCCCCACTAAAGCTTTAAAAGAATTTGAAACACCATACAAAATGTGGCGTAGTAAAACGCCTCATGTAAAATATTCATAAGTGTTTGGTTCCATAATACCATTTATACACGGTAACAAATCGGTTGGAGTGAAATGAATATTTTCAATGAGTTAATGGAAATTGGTGTGAAATTCCGAGTAAAATACTCTTAATTGCTCAAAATTGTGTATACCTAACACACTATTGATTTTAATCAGTCAAAAATGAGCAGTATACCCAATTTACACAAAATAGGGTAAATATTCTCACAAATTTGAGTCTTTACAACTCAATATTCAATGATTAAATTATATTTTGATAATTACGCCTGTGCTGTAGATCAAGTTGTACCACAACGTGTCACGTGTCGAGACTAGAGAAGAAATCGAACTAGTGAGGTGAGGTGGTATGTGGAAGTGAGCACTGAGCAGCGTTTTGATCTCTTTGTCGACTTGTTCTTATTGATTGTGATTTGTGGTTGCTGCAAAAACAGAAAAACGGATGAAGCAGAAAAAATCCTATTATTTGAACTTCAATTTTCTAAAAGAAGAATGTGGTGCAAGTAGAAGTTCTGAGTTGTCCTAAAATTTTATAATGCAGACGTGGGGTTGTAACCCATCGATCCTACGATGGATGTATACCATGAAAATGAGACCTATCATCACCTACGGAGCGGTATCCTGGTACAGCCGAACCCAGCTAGTAACGGCTAGGAAAACCCTAGGAAAGGTACAAAGACTCGCATGTCTATGCATAACAGGAGCAATGAGAACATGCCCAACCGCGGCAATGGAAGTCATCCTAGACCTAACACCACTTCACACAATAGTGAAGCGTGTTGCCAGTGAATCATATCTAAGACTGGCGAAGATAAGTCTACAAGGGAAAACGCACTTTGGCGGAGCTTTCCCTCTCCCAAACTGTGCATACCTCATGGACTTACCAAAAAGCGATTGTTGATAAATTCAGTTTCGAGAAAAACTTTTCCATCGAATTAAGTACAAAGTACAGATGGAACATAGAATGTATCCAGTCCCTTAAAGCAAACACCATCAAATGGTTCACAGACGGCTCCAGCAGGGACAGGAGCCGAAGTATTCGGATCACGAACCAAGATACTCGGAGCCAATGGGCAAATCACCAAGCATATTCCAAGCCGAACTTCATCGGAAAATGCGTGCAGTTCAATCTGAACAGAAGGTATCGAAAACGAGAAATTGTAATAATGTCTGACAGCCAAGCAGCTATCAAAGCATTGAGCTCGCCGGTAATCAATTCTAAAATAGTATGGGAATGTCCACAGAAACTTAATGAGCTGGGGAAGGACAACAAAGTAACCCTACTCTGGGTTCCTGGACACATAGGAGTCGAGGGCAATGAATGCGCAGACGAACTTGCAAAAACGGGAGCGGCCACTCCCTTCACTGGGCCAGAACCATTCTGCGGCGTCGGAAATGCGCACCTCCAAGAAATCCTCAAAAAGGAAGAGAACCGGCTAAGGAACAAACAATGGCTAGACCAATCAGGACTACGACAGGCCAAAGATCTACTGGGTAGCTACAACCAAAAAAGATCTGAATTGTTGATCAACCTTAGCAAGAAAAGTCTCAAAACTCTAACCGAATAAGCACCTACATAATCTGGGGTTGGAAGAAGGTAACACTTGCAGATTCTGTGAAGACGGTGAAGAAACACCTCACCATCTTACAGACAGTCTCCAGCAACTTTATCTGAAGATGAATAAAACGGGCCTAAATGTCATAAATTTAAAATGTAACAGCCTTTATCGACTGAAAGTTAAAGCATGAAATTAATAAAACGGAATTGTAGCAAAAAACTTGTTTGAAACACGAGCATTTTTCAATTATAAACTGAAAAATATTTAGATAATTACAAAAGTTTATAATGATTTTAATAGCTTGAGGCTATAACGTTATATTTCACAGGAAATCATTGAAGCTAAAAATTGAAAATATTCTTCTTCCAATATTCAATATTTCTTTTTATCTTCAAGTCTATTTTCTTAATAAAATGAACCATTATAGCGGGGTTGGGAGTTTCCGTGGATGTTTCACTCTGCTGTTCAAATGCGATTGGAGTCCCTAAGGTTTCAATCCAGAAACTTCGATGGAAACTCATCGCACAAGTCAAGAAGTTTAATTAACCAACGTAATAGGTACCAACATTGGTCTATCTTTTTTTAGTTTTCAAATTGCAAGTTAATTCAATATTTAATGAAGTACAAGCCTGATTAGGTTTTGGAATCACTTTGTTTTTTAACTTGGGATTTGTCCTGTCATTATAAATCTCTCAAGTTGGAGAAATTGGGTACAACCTTGTAAGAAATCATTTTTATCTATCGAGGAATTTTCTAGATAAAATGTTCCCAGATAATCTATTTTAATGTCTCAACTTCATTTTTGGATTAGTTGGCACAAAGAGCTGAAAAATCTCTTTCTATGAAAGAATGAAGCAGAGAGTTATTTCAAAGTCAAATGTCACATATGTTTGAAAAAACTGCAAAATGAAGCTTGCAATTTACTCACTGATAATACTCTAGGTACATGCATGTAAAGGAATAAAAAAGTTGTTATCCACACAGAATGCTCTACATTCAAAACATCGCAAAGCATTTACCGATACCACGCTTCACGTTGAAAGCCCCAAGCGAACAATACGCCAACACTTTATTAACTGTTAAACTGTTAGCCATATTGTTTGTAATCTAACACTTTGTAAAATGTATTTTGATGATTATGCAATTCCATTGACTGAACCCCTATTTCATCCCCTGTTATGTTAATAATTTGGTCCATTGATTTCAATTAGGTTATTAGAGCAAATTCTAAACTGGTTGTCAAAATCCTAATTGCGACGATTCTGTTGGTATGAGGCAGAACTATTAATTTCAATTTTGTCACATCCTGGCGAAATATAATGATACGTGTAAAGTTTGAAAAATTAATTCTTTATAAAGTGGAACTTCATGGCTAATATAATTTTTTTTCTTTTTGAATAAACGTCTAATTTTTATCAATCAGATCAATCAACATCAACTTACCCAATATAGCTGATCAATTCGCAAAAAAGTTCACTTCAGAAAACTTTCGAGAAAACTTTCAGGTCGCTACGGGACTTGGATCGCGGCAACTCTTCGGGAGTTTTCACAGACGCCCGGGAGCTTCAACATTTAACTAAAGCAAAATCAGAATGAAACTCCCGACGACCGCGAGGAAACGCTGTTGCCAAACCGAGGAAACTTGCTGGTAGGCTACAGGTGTTTGAACCGGATGTTGGAAGTAATATGATTTTTTCTTGAATAATTTGGCAAACATGTTTTGATGTTGTATTAGCTAAATGCAAAAGTTTAAGCTTAACTTGTGGGTGACAAATAATTTAGGTATACTGAAATGGTGAATTCGCAAATACCTTAAACTAATTCAATTCGTTTATTAAAATGATGTAACGCATACAGAAACAAGTCCCTTCTTAAATGATCCACTTATATTCCAAAGTCTCGAGAAGCTGGCTACAATAACCTTACAAATAATGTATTAGACATGGAAAACGGATTTAAGCTATTTGTAATATAAGTTACCAATTGGATCGGTGAAGCCCTATTGAAAATTCATTGACATTATCAATGATATTAAATATCGGTATTGGTGTAAAATTAGTTAGAATTTAATTAGTTTCTATGTGTTGTGATATACGATCTCAAAATTGTAACAATCTGACCAAATTTATTCGTAAACTATTACTAAAACAAACCATTACCAATTTGGTTTAAGCAAAATTCTCAACCGTTTATCGCAGAAATGCAATCTACGCTAGACTGTCCACCCTTTTTAATTATCATGTCATCGTGTCAATGAAGTAATTACCGTTATAATTAAATTTCATGGCATAATATAGATGTTTTAATCGAACTTATACTGATATGGTACTACAATGTCTATTTATGATAAAACTGAAATTATTTAAGTTACTTTGGCTGACAAACGAATTATCTTGTCAGATGTTTTAATCAATATCGACATTGATGACTGATCGATAATCCTAAGCAATAAGTATGAAATGAACCAGGCATGGCAACAGGAAATCAACCCCCGCCTACACACGTGCCTTTCCTCTATGAAACTGTTTTCCAGTAAATCAAATATTTCCTACCTACCTGAGATTTTTCCTTACCAAAAGAATTAATAAATATTCTATTAATGAAAGTACAAGCAAACTGCTTTTAGTAGATAATTTAATTAGCGAATAAAGTTTGTATCAAGTGACTTCACTTAGGAGGAAGTTTAGTGCCTTTCTCAATTAATTACCTTATTCAAAGGTAACTTTTCTATAAATAACTAGTTTTTCAGAGACATATTCAATTGGGGACGGCATTAGTCTATTTTTTGCCAATCAAATGACAAAACAAGTAACTAAACTCTTTTGTCAATTTTTTGAATATAATCAAATATTGAGCATGGTTAGCTAATAGCGAGACAGTATAGCAGGTTATAACATCCCATCCAATATAAATTCGTTGTCATAGTGAATTTCAGGAAGCAATTTTTTTCTTCTCGCAGTCGAAAAAGGCAATTTACTAGTCCTGGAATTGGAAAATGACATATTGCAAACAACCAGAGAGGGTTTTTTATTAAAAAAAAATACGAAGCACCCTTGTGGCACAAAATGGGATTGTCTTTTTTCTATTATTCATTCTAACAGTTTTCTCAGCCGTATAATTTATTTTAAAAGAGCAACCTGGGATTGCATGTGTTGTAAGTTTATAGCTTTCTCAGACAGTTGGTATACTACATTATTTCAAAAGATCATGGAATTCTTTGTCACTCGATATTTATTTTATAAGTTCAAAGAAGTGTGGAGAAACAGTTAACCTTAAGTGTAAAGTTTAAGGGCTCTAAAATTAGAAATCCGCACCTACTAAAAGACAGTGTCGTCAATATACAGATTTTTCTTTTGCTTTTGGACATGACATTACTATCAATAAAGTAAAGATTCACTTTTTTATATAATTTGCACATCAAATAAAACATGGCTCTATTGATCAACAATTATACAGGATTGATAAGAATAAGAATGCTAATAAAATTGCTCGCCGGAAAAAATGAAAAATAATGTTTTCATTGACGAAAATGAGACATCAAAGAAGATAACTAAAAACTCAAAAGAAGGAAATGGAATTTTACTCCAGTCGTGTTCGACCTCTTATTACATAACTTCATTATAATTTTTAGTGTAGGTAGAGAGAAAAGTGATTTTAAATTTTCAAGTGAAAAAAATCGGAGGTTGCATCTTTGATGAGAGAAAAATTTACTTTTAAGTTATTTCCTCTTCCTTAGTTCACTCAATGGTTAGGTTCAAAAATTTTTAACTAAAAACATTGGTTTCCTGATTGTTATAACTCATTTTACCTCTTTCTGGCAATATTTTTGATTAATTTAGGTTGTCAGGATGCGAGGTGAGGATGGGCCAGAAGCCCCAAGGATAATACCACTACTACCACAGGATAGCCCATCCTCATAAGGTCTGTGTGGAACAAATCTGATGGAGCCCCCGACCACGCAAATCACCAGTTGTTAGGTAGGCAGCCATCTTCCTCTTTGCCCATTATGTTATTCAAAATTAAATAATAATTTTCTTCATAAATTTAAATTCTGTTGTAGTATTACTAGATCAACAACCGAGGTAGACCAGCTGTTAAAACAATCCTTTGTTCCACCTAGTGACGTTGAAACTTTGTGGGAATCTCTTAAAAAAAAGTACAACGACCTCCGCAACTGTGAGAGCGATGTATATTATTACCCCAGGGAAATTAGACTTCCTCTGCGGAATGAGGCCGAAACAAGCTGAATTTTTGCAGAGACCTCCATTATGATATTCTTATGAAGCACAAAAAAACCGAATATGCCTACCCTTGTACGTCTTGAGATATCGAAGGTCAAAGATCGCGAAAATCGTTTTTTTGCGAAAATCTCGCTTCCAGTGCATCTGACGTCGAAGAACTTAAAACAAAACTTACTTAAAATAGTATTTTCTACAAAATTGTTCATATACATTATTTTACACGACCAACCGTTTTCGAAATAATAGCCTGATAAAGCGGAAGCGCATATTCAAAATGGGCGATAATGTATTATACAGGGTGTCCCCGTTCAACTGGTCAAAAATGCTAGGGTATATAGAGGAACCATAGAGAAGTAATTTGAGATAGGATACCGATGGTCGGAAGTGCGTCACTTCCAAAATACAGGGTGTTGAAATTTAAACAACCCCCTTTCATATCTGGAGGGCTAATGCTAGACTATTGAAATTTTTAGGTATTATTGATGTAGGAATGATATTTAAAAATTCGTATAATGCACCCCTATTTTTTACCTAGAACTACCCCAAAAAAAAAGAAAAAAAATGAAAAAAATTGCTTTTTCTTCAAATTTTAATTATTTTAAATTTTTTTTTTGGATGGTTCCATGTAGAAAATGGGGATGCATCATACGAATTTTTAAATATCATACTTACTTACTTGTTTAAATTTCAACACCCTTTATTTTGGAAATGACGCACTTCCGACCATTGGTGTCCTATCTCAAATTACTTCTCTATGGTTTCTCTATATACCCTAGAATTTTTGACCAGTTGAACGGGGACACCCTGTATGATACAATATCACCTATTTTGAATGTGCGCTTCCGCTTTATCACGCTATATTTCGAAAACGGTTGGTAGTACAACAAAATGTATAAAAGTTATTTTGTGAAAAATACTATTTTACGTAAGTTTTGTTTTGGGTTTTTTAACGTCAGGTGCACTGGAAGCGAGATTTTTGCAAAAAACGATTTTCGTGACCTTTGACCTTCGATATCTTAGGACGCACAGGGGTAGGAATATTCGTTTTTGTTTGTGCTTCATAAGAACATCAAAATGAAGATCTCTGCAAAAATTCAGCTTGTTCGGCCTCATTCCCCAGATGGCCCTTTTTTTGGTCTATTTTCCCTGGGGTATATACAACAAAGATGATGCAATAACAGAAAAGAAACTTTTAACTGGAATGAATACAGCTGATTTCATATCACAAACGCTTTGTCAAATTGTAATTAGCAGTTGAGAAATGTCTTGCACCAGATGAAGGTCAAGATAATGCCAGTGTAATCTCAGGTGGTTCCACACCATCATCAAATTATAAGCGAAAATTTTCCTCGCATCCAGTTAAAACATTTGATGGCGATATTCGTGAATGGCTAGCTTTTTGGTCGCAATTTCAAAAAATTCATACATAGACAATGGAATTGATGACTCTGACAAAATCGAATATTTAATCCGAGCAACTGTGTTGGGCAGTAGAACACGCCAAATTCTCGAAAGTTCTCCTGTGATGGGAGATAATTATCAAAAAATTATCAACTGCCTGCTTGCAAGATTTGGGAGGAAGGACTTACAAATAGAGATATATGTGCGAGAGCTGCTGAAGTTAGTTTTAAGCAATGCGATGTCCCAGCAAAAGTTGGTACTCTCAGAACTCTATGAATTGAGATTCAGCTAAGAGCTCTTGACACACTAGGTATCACGTCTGATAAGTATGCAGCATTATTATTCCCACTCATTGAATCATGTTTGCGGCACCAACTCCTGAGAATTTGACAGAGATCTTTGTTTATTTCCAGTATCAATTCAGATCCCCTCGATGTCAAGCTACAGAATCTCATAATTTTCATACGTAGTGAGGTGGCTAGTGACCGCCTTTCCTTTAGCAGTCAATCTTGATAATATCGGTGGCTCCTCTGACCACTCACAAAGTTGGCAAAAAGGGCCACGGGCAAGATATTCTCCTGTCACAGCAGCAGGACTTGTTAATACTGATGTAGCCAAATGCATTTTATGTTCAGGATTACTTGAAAGTGCCGAATATTTCAAAGCACAGAAAATACTGCTGAATGGATAGTCAATGAAAAAGAGGAATGTCTCAAATACTTGAAAAAAGACCACCTCTCTAGACAATGTCATTTAAAACTGAAATGTGTAATTTGTGGTTATTCACACGTATGATGATGTGTTAGAATTTGCCAGAGAAAAAGCAGTCTTCAGATCAAGTTTCGGTTCAAAGAGAAGTTAGCACTGAGACCGAAAAAGCCATGCACAAAGGACCAAATCAAACCAGCACACGTGTATT